CTTTAAAGACATTGGCTTCAGCTTCTGCTGCTAGTGGAATATCAATATCTGCTGTGCACACACACCTCCTACACATATAGTAACATATAGCACCATTAAGTTGCACACATGTCCGTGAACAGCCCTTACATCTACACACCCCCTACTAACCCACAGAGAGTAGCTGACTATATTAGAGCAGACACAAAGAGAGGCTGTGTCTGCAATATTGCATGGTGGCGGCCGCTGAATGACCACCATACCAACAAGACACGGACCTCGGGAGAGCTACAGCGGAGGTCACAATGAGTAAACACAAAGCATTTCCCTTTCCAGCTCCACATTTTTGTTGCTACAAAGCACTTTTTTTTTCTTCCCAAGTAACATGTCCTGCATGTGTTGGTTACCTTGAAAAGTAAAGACCTCATCCCTGGTTGTGCGTATGTGTACATCTAGAAATGTACACTCAGTCTTACCTTGCCTTCCCCCCACAGTCCCACTCTCTGTCTCCCTGGTCCTTGAACCTCCCTCTCTCCCTCTCTCCCTCTCCCTCTTTGTTGATGTACATTTGGACATTTCTCTTTGAAATCTAGATTACTGCTCTCAGCGTTGCCTGGCATGACTATCTATGCACTTGGGAGTAATACCCGGCACCAGATTCACCCAAGTTGTTATCACATGATTCTCTCTGTCTGTTTCAATTGTTTTAGCGCTCTGTGTCTGAGTAAATTGGCATTGTAAATTTCACACCATAAGTGCATGTTTGCAGCAATAAAAAACATATTGCAAATATCTGGGTGGATGTATAACTTCATTTTCTTTGTACTTATATAAAATGTTCTAGATAAATACTATATAAAAAAAGAAAACCATACTCAGCTCAGCAGTATATGCATCTGTCCTGTTTACACTCTGAATTCAGGGCGTCTTGAAAGTCACAGGGGACATGTTTCACCTCTCTGAAATCTGCATAACGTTGGCCTGACACCTAGTGGATAAAATAATGTTGGTTTGAAAGGGCTTCTAGCAAGATGCTGAAAATTTACCTGTTTTCTTAAAATTAACAACCTCACACTCAATTCAGCTGCAGTATGACATCAGAGCTGGAGTTTTCCTGAGGAGCTGTCTGAGCCCTCTAAATGTAGATCAATGCCCTGAATACTTCAGTGTTGTTTCAGTGTTTCATTTGGAAATGGTATATAATTGTTTAGTTAGGCCCATTGCAATTACTGAGGTAATTTCACACTTTAAAATAGCATTGAACATCGGCTATGTGAATGAACAAACAGCCCCCGGTCACTGCTATAATCCTTAACATGTTCATCATATCAAACCCGGTTTTAGAAACTGTTCATCGCTGGCTTTTATTCTACTATTGGCATTAGATGTTTTCACACTCACTTCACTCCTTATATAGTAGGTTACATGGTGAGGGACACAGTCTGTCATTAACTTATTAAAATCATTCTTAGTGTTTCAACAGTAACCACAGGCGTCAAGCAAATAAACCAGAACTTTGATGTACTTTTCCTAATATGGCAGTTATGGCTCAACACCAAGTATTTATAAAGCTTTTTGATAACTCAGACAACAATACATCTCTACTGGCAAAGTGAGAATCATTACGTACATATACATATTGGACTCAGATTCAGTACCCCAGTTCTGAACAGACATGACAAGGTGACAAACCATCACATTTCAGACCAAGCCTGGGACTTCTCACAGCAACAAGAAATAGATTGGCAAAGAAACTTACAACCGGGAGGATAGAAACAAGTGCCACACTGAGTCAAACAGGAAAGACAGATGGTTTTCATGTGGATTTAGGGCCAGATGAAGTGCTGGTGAGCATTAAATCCCAAAAAACATGATTTGTCTGCAGGATACCATATTGGTTTTTAACTATTCCCTGATGGGCTGTGAGACAACAAAGACCAACATCGATATAGAGTCTCATTCACTTTAACATTAAGGCCTAATAAAAAAAGGCCTTAATGAAGCAGGCACAGATGAAAAAGAATCATTATCTGGGCCTGGGTAACGATGAATGTTCCCCTTCCCCAGGGCTCTTTGTTTTCTTTTGTCTATGTATCATATAACCTTTTACATAATTTCAATACTCCTTATATTTTAGGGTCAGGGCAAATGTAAAAAAACATAATAAGAGCTCCATGCAAAACAAGATGTGACTTTCACTCACTGGCCACTTTATTATGTGCTATTGTACTGGACTACATTATATTCAGAGGTGTCTCTACAGTTTCGTCCTCCCCAGCAACATACTTGAGAGGGCCAGAATATTAGGGACTGCATTGAAGTGCAGACAACTGTACAGGTGTACAGGTGTACCTAATAAAGTGGCCAGTGAGTGCACAGTCCTGCTCTAAGTAGAATGCAGTCAAATTAAGTCAAGTACAGAAGAGAATATACAGTATACTCACTGTGAACTCATTGTCCATGTTGCTTTCAAATAGTCCTTTATTTGACCAAGGAGAGCTGTCTGTCCTTCAAACATACACACATGCACACACAACACAACACAACACATACACACAATACTAATCAGTGAAATCTAAATTCCCAGGGTATAGGCTCTATTAGGCTGTGTGCTTGTGAGAAGATAATCATTTGGTGATATGAGACCACATAACTGGGCGGTGGGTGGCAACACTAATGCTGCTGCATGAAAATGCTGGGCTGCAAACTGTGTGCCAAAGCCTTAACTTTTCAAATAAGACGTTGCCTAAAGGCAGACATTAATGACTCCTTTTCAAGGTGAAGGAACAGAAACAGCAGGCTTCTGCTTAACGTGCAATCACAGCTTTGAATATGAGAGCAGGGGTTATAAAATGACACTGGAGGCTTCTGAGCAAGTATGTTAAAGCTTTTGCCCTTGACTATACAGATCATTTTAATGTTGGTATGAAACAACATATATTCATTTTAGGCATTTTGTTGTCTGATACAATCAACATTGTCCTGCGAGTATTATCTTAACATTTAGCTGACCTGTTTACTGGATATTTTACATTAAAATAAGCTTTTGTGTTTTTTGTTTTGTTTGTTTTTTTAAGTTTACAGGTTGTGTTGTATCTGTGACCCAACCACTAGATGGTACTGTTTAGTTCTGACTGCTTGTGCTAGGAAAGCAGCCATGTTCTGTGTTGTCACACAGCAACATTGTACAGCTACATTTCAATTTCACTTTTTTTCAATAAATATGCACCTGATGCATCTGTTTTAGCAATATCACAGGTTTCTATGCTTGAATTTTCTGCAGTGTAGCCCACAAACAACAAAAAATGACAAACTGTCCAGATGGATAGTAAGCATACAAGTAAGTTGGCCTAAGCTGGTGATTTTGTTGTGCAGTCCACACAGACCTGCACTCTAGTTGTCCTGGTAGCTCAAGCAACTATTTATGTCTGTCTATTTTTTGCTACTCTGTAAATAAGGCTCACTACAAGAAAAAACATGTCATTTCTATCTGAGACAACATAAAAATCACCAAACTAGAATGCATTTTATGTGCTTGCATTTAAAACACAGCCCTTCAAGCTTTGTTTCTTTAATTCTTCTCCAGCTTTAAGAAACAAGTAAACAATTATATTCCCAGCTTGTGGGATGCGCTCGGTGAAAACCGGTACTGCAGTGAAAAAGCTTGATCTCTTTCGGTGAGCATGAAACAAATTAGATGTAAATAAGCTTAAGAAACATGCTGTTGATGTGCCCTTACATTAGGATATTTCTCTCTGCTTAAAGGATGAATACCATCTGTTAGAAGAACACAAAAACCTTTTAACATTGACCGAAGAATAAAACTCATGGTTCTCTATTAACTCAAGCCACTTGGGAAACCAAAAGCATATTCACTGAACTCACGGTGCCTTATTTGTAATCAGTAGCTGTGGTCAGTATGTTTTAAATGTGGTTGCATCTCTATATCTGTGTTTATGCTGCTTCTACAGTGAGCAAAACCTGTTTTTGTATCTCTGTGACCATCAGCCAGCCACCAGTGAGCAGCCAACAAAATTGTTATCAAGTATCAGTGCTGTTTTTACTGCTACAATCATGTGCCAGACAGAGACAGACATGATGGAGGGAATAGGAATACAAGCTAGAGAGAAGAGAGGAGAGTCCGTATGTGTGTGTGTGTGTGGTGGTGGTGGGGTGATATCAGAAGAAGAAGGAAAGAAAGGAAGAAGTAGAGGTAAAGAGAGTTTATGTGATGGAGACAGCCAGATACTGAGAAAGTGCTCTAACATGCCACATGTCTGCAGTGGTGCTGCCAAAGAGAGGCTCTATTTTTAGGGGAGGAATGTACACAGAGGCCTCATGGAAAGAGACCATAACAACAAACAGTTTCGCAGCAGCATGCTCCTACAAAGAGACAGCCCCCTTTGAAACATACAGTCACCATACCATCGACACGAGAGATAAGAAGAGAAACATACAACAAATTTGCAAGGCATCCGGTTTTCTGCTGAGCTCTTGCTTTAAGTACAGAGCAGGAGCCCCCAGCAATATATAAAGGCAGCGAACAGGAACAGGTAAGAGATGTTTTTCAGTGATTCACCATCAGTAATGGATTAGTTATGTCTGTTTGTCTGCATAGCTTTGAATAAATATGGTGTACTGTAAATATGGATCAAACAAGCTTTACCTTGTTTGACATTTTACAAGCTGAGGTACAATTTTAAAGTGTGTGGAGTCAACTGGACAGTTTCTGGATTGTTTATCCTATCCTGTTGATCCTCACCCGTTTTGGGGATTTTAATTAGCATGGATAATAATCAGTTCTGAGACGTCTAATGAATGAGAGCTTTGATCTTGTTTTGAAAACAGAATCACTTTTTGTTTTTATAGCTGCACTGTTTAATTCATTAGTAAAGCAGAAAGGACTAAGAAAACCTAAAATCTAATCCCATCTTGGTGAGGGAGCCTCCCTTCGCTCATTTGACGACTGATAACCACTGTTTTTCCAAAGCTTAGAAATCAAATGGTTTGAGAATCACAACATGATGTCTCTCCCCAGCATGGACCGACCAGAAGTCGAAGTCTTCCACTACAGAGACAAAGAGCAGTCGTCCAATCTGCTTCTGCAGCTTAACAGACTGAGACAGGAGAAGGTCCTGACTGATGTGCTACTCTGTTCAGACAACACAGAGATCCCATGCCACCGTAATGTACTGGCTTCCAGCAGCCCTTACTTCAAAGCCATGTTCTGCAGCAACTTTGTGGAGAGCCAGCAGACCAAGATCAAACTAAACAGCATCACATCAGCCATCCTGAGTAGTATCATTGATTATGTTTATACTGGACTCATTAGTATCACTATGGACATTGTGCTGCCTCTGATGCAAGCAGCATCCATGTTGCAATATGGTCACCTTTTTGAGGCCTGCTCTAGTTTTCTCCAGGAGCAGCTGAGCCCAGACAACTGTTTGAGCATGATGAGACTGTCTGACATCATGAATTGCAGCAGTTTGAAATGCAGAGCAAAGGAAATGGCGATGAAAAGCTTTTCCGATGTGTCGGCGTCCGAGGATCTGTGTGAGCTCTCCTTACCAGAGCTCATGGGATATCTACAGGATGATAGCCTTTGTGCAGAGGAGGAGCAGGTCTTTGAGACACTTGTCGCTTGGATTCACCATGATCCTTTAACCAGGCGAGGTGCCATCAGTGATCTTTTCAAGAAAGTTCGCCTTCGACATATCCACCCTACCTACCTCTTCCGGTTCATAGCCAACAACCCCCTGATCCAGTCCTCCACTCTCTGCACTGAGCTCATTGACTCTGTGAGACGACTCATGTTTTCTGTCAGCACAACATGCACCGGAGACACAGCAGTAGACTTCAGACCTCTCTGGGTTGCACCGAGGCGCTACACCTACCATGACATGTTGGTGGTGGTCGGAGGAAGAAAGAACAATGAGCTAACATCAAGGGACGCCCTGATCTTTGATGAGAACAATCAGAAGTGGCAGTGGCTCGCCAAGCTGCCCAACCGTCTGTACAAAGCCTCCTACGTCGCCCTTCACAGCGTCATGTATGTTATCGGAGGGCTGACCACAAACACAAGGCACAGTCAAGTTAACACAACCGTCTATGCCCTCTCCCTCAAGACCAACCAGTGGTGGACAGCAGAGCCCATGCTAGAGCCACGCTTTGCACACCAGAGCATCTCCTACCTCCACTTCATCTTTGTCCTGGGCGGCCTTGGACATGACAGACAGATGACAGCAAGCGTGGAGAGGTAATAACCAGCCTCAGTCAAGATGTTGTTTACTCTAAAAAGACCCTTCATTGTGTACCACAACATACACAATAAAAACCACCCAAATGGTTGGGGCTGTGGGGGCCTAAAGCTTAGAGAAGCAAGCTTGTGACCAGAAGGTTGCCTGTTCAGTCCCCACTTGGGCTATGCTTAACCCATCCTGATTAACACCACTGTGGTGCCCTTGAGCAATGCCCCTAACCTCAACCAACTGAGTGGAGCTGCTCAGTGTTCAGTAGCCTCCAGGTGTGAATATGTTTAATTGTGTGAACGTGATCAGGGATGCTCCTAGGTTCTCTCAAAGAACCCACACCTAAAACAGGTATAAAATAAAAGAGTCACAGAATAACATGTCTCTCCATGTTATCAGGTATAACAGTATGTTTAACCAGTGGGAGTCTGTGGCACCAATGCCGGAGGCTGTGCTGCACCCAGCAGTGGCAGCTACTAATCAGAGAATCTATGTGTTTGGAGGAGAGGATACCCTGCAGAACCCTGTCAGAATAATACAGGTAAAATACAATGCTCTCCACTCACAAAGTGACTCATTGTGTTTTCATTCATTCAGTTCCTATTTCCTTCTACCCCTGCTCCTTTGTCCCTTTTGTAGGTATATCATATCACCAGGAACATGTGGTCTAAGATGGAGAACAGGACAGTGAAGAACGTGTCTGCTCCAGCAGTCATTATGGATGATAAGATCTACATCATTGGAGGTAGTCACAGAGAGAAAGACTTTTACAAGAAGCACATTTAATGAAGAATTCATGATGTAGTTAATTCTGCTAATAAATACAATATGATATCTTTAGAGAGAGAATCATATTCTCTTTGTGACAAGTATTATTTTTTGGGTGAATCAGACAAAGTTACATCCCTACATTCTCATACCTCACACACATCTCATTATTTTCTCCCCTGTCACAGGATATACCAGGAGATTGATGGCATATGATGTCAAGGCCAACCAGTTCATGAAGTGTGCCAACCTGAAGGACAGGAGGATGCACCACTCTGCCACAGTTCTCAATAACAAACTCTACGTCACAGGTGGACGTTATATCATTGGCCATGACATCATCGAGGACTCTGACAATTTCGAGTGCTATGACCCAAAGACAGATACATGGACATCTAAGGGGACTCTGCCATATAAACTGTTTGACCATGGCTCCCTGACTCTGACATGTGTCTCACAGACATGGGCAAAACGTTAGCTGAGGCACAAATTTAATGAGGTGATTTTTTTTGTCACAGTTTCCTATGTTTGAGGTCTACTGCACTGAAAAAAATTCATTTCAAAATAAAATACTGTCAATCAAAATATTTATGGAGAACAATTGGCTAATTGTTAATATAGCAATTTTATTTTGTAGCAGATCCATAATATTCCTCCTGATGCATAAAGGTAAACATACCTCATGTAATTTTGATGCCTTAAAATGTTCATACTTTGTGTGTCTTTTCTATCTTTTTATTTAATAACACCCACATCTATGACAAGCTATCCGCTGCACAGCCCCTTCTTAACGTCCACAAAGGTCCGAATGCTATTTTCAGTGGGGTCTAAATCATGAGATTTTAGTTGTCATGTTTAAATCCCAGGGCTGTGGACTGTTTGGTCAAAGCTTTGCTCAGCTTTTAAATTTCTGGATCGCTCCCTCTTGCCTCAGTGCAAAAGGATGGTGGGATTGTTGTGATAACTTTGTTACTAAAAATGTCATGCAGTGGTGAAAATAAAACTATAGGAATTTGTTTTAAAATGTAGCTTTAGGCTACATTTAGATACCCAGCATAGTTATGCATCATCAGATGTACTGTGACTACTGTATGTAGAAGAAATACCTGGATTTGCTAATGAACCTGTAAAAAAAAAAAAAAAAGAAGAGACTCAGGTACTGTATTTTGTAAGATTCAATTTGACCTTTTATAAAACCAGTTTTTTAAAAATGTTTTGTAAAGTTTTTTTAACAATTGATTTGTTTAAATATCCACAATAAAATGTTACTCTTTACATGCAGCTTCTGTTATGTGCCATTCGCACCTGTCAGTGAGCGAACGAGAAAGAGGCGGACCCAGGTAGCCGACTTCGGTGCAAGCAGTGATTTATTAAGTACAGTGATGAAGGGAGTAACAATACACAGAGGGAAATAGTACGTAGTTCTGTCGATGAGTAGTAGCCAGGTGTTTGACCAACCGCAGGAGGTGAGGAGATGGAGAGCTGGGCCGAGCTGCGTAGGCTGGGTCACTCCTGGGCTGGTCGGTGGTGATGGTGGCTACTGAAGGTAGAGACAGAGAGATGAAGGCAATAGTGGAACA